ATTTGAACTCTAATAACTCTTCCACTACTTTTCCAGTTTGCAAAAAGGAATGAAAAAGTAATGCCCCCACTGTATGTATTAAATGTTACATCCAACCCCCCCTCTCTCTTGTTGTCATTTTCTCCTATGCCCCCTCTAATTTTCCAACCCTCCCCCCTCCAGGTAATTATTGCACAGTCCCTTATTTTCTTCAAAGTTCTCATTATGCAACGCGGAAACAACACTGAAATAAAGAAATGGTTAAGGAAGGGCCAGGTTTCTTGGTCAAACATTGCTACCACACCCGACCCCCTCGAGTAATAAATGTGCTTGAAGACCGAACTGCAACCAGAGTGCCTGTACCAGTCTTGATCCTTACTTTACTTACAATATGAGCTAATATGGTTGGTCCAGCGAATCACGTTACGTCTGAGAACCTGTCTACCACAGAGGACATAAGTGAAATGGTACAGATGTCGCTGATTGCTACGCGCTCACAAATCACGACTTTTCGCGCCAAAAGGCCTTTCTAAAATACGACCGCGCGGGCCTAAGTACTTTACTCTAAACATTTACCGGAAGTGATTTCCTTGTTTACACCATCGAAATCCAACTGATTGATCGCCATGGTAAATCGACTACATTATTCATGATCCTGTTGGCTCTCGAAGTTTATTTTGCTACATTACACGGGTAATAGACGGATTTCGCTAACGTGTCTACATCTTTGCTGCCACCTAATTAAGGTCATGTGACCAGTCCTTTGGGATTTTACAATTGTTCTGTTTGCACATACTCCCATGCAATCAGTTGCGTGTGGCAAATTGCACAATTGTAACCTCCCAAATGAATTATCACGTGGTCTGAATTGCGTGGCAACAAGGATGTAAACACGTTAGTCGAATCCGTCCATAAAACAGACGACGCTGGCATCCATGGATACCAGCATCGACAAAAACTGTAAAAACCACCGACCTCACAAGGCATCTTGAAGTACTACAAATTGTTAACAGCATGAATATCGAAGGACGATCGCTAATAATTGGCAAGAGGTTTTTGGAGACCGAGCGGGTGATTATCAGGTGCTCCATTCTTTGTTCATTGGCGTTAAATAAGTCCCAGAGGCGCCATTTATATTATTATCTAATCACAGTCATTAATAA